ACAATTCAGACTATATGGAAAGTGACCGAATGATAGATTTTAAATGTGTAAATTGTTTTGAATGTGAATTATAGCTCAGTGAAGTTTTGTGTGGGCTGTTTTTTTGTTTTGTTTTGTTTTTAATCTTTTTGTATGTGGTAGATAGACTAGCACTTTTGGCATAGACTAAGAGCTAGTTAAGAATGCAGAATCTTGGCACCCCAGAGCTGCCAAAACAGAGCCCAGATGATTCCTATGCACCTTGAAAGTTAGGATATAATGCCCTGGGGCAACTCTCTGTCACAGTGAGAAAACAGAGACCTAGTTAAGTGGCTTACCTAAGCTCATATGGTCAATTCAAAAGATACATTTTATTCTTTGCATCACAGTTGTTTGCAAGTTGGTGTCTCCCAGTAGAAAGGGCACAAATTGTGTCTTTCTCACTTCCTAGCCCTAAAGCCTGGTACAGTGTTCTATACATGATACTCAAACATTTACTGGATGGCTAAAATGACCTCATTACACAGACCAATTTCCAAAGAGAGGCATTACATTTTGCCTAAATCAGCTCCATTACCAAATTAAGCTCCATTACCAAAATAAGTAAATTTAACATATCATACATGCACTTGTATTTTAGCAAATGTTTGAAAAGATTTTTTTTTTTAAAAAGCATAGCAAACAAAATCAGAATCTGAGTGTCACCAGAATATCAAGGTTTTCACTGAGTAAATGGAAAATATATTTTGTAACTAAGGAAGTCAGAATGCTCTGACACAGAAAGATAGCTCCTCTAATGAAATTAGACAACACAGAGGAAGGTGCTTATTAATGGTTCTTAACAAAAGTGTTTGCAAAACTGTGAGCTTTACAGAAAGGGACATAAAGGTTAAGTAAAGTTTCAGTCAAGAAGACTATCTTTGACTCCTTCCAATGGCAGGTAGCCAAAGCAGATCTGTGCTCATTATCTTTGGTTTTTACTTGGGAACTAAGGAATAGGAAGGAATAACCCTAAGAGACCAAAAACTACTCAATGAGCTGAACTACTATTCTGTAACAAAGTATATGGATCTGTGATGTTAAAAGGCTCACTATGTAATGCCAACGAGCTTGTTTTAAGTTTGGACTTCTGAGCAAGGCTCTAGTAGGCTTTCACTACTAGTGGAGATATCTTTTAGTCCAGGTTTAAATGGTCCAATTGGTAATCTGGGTCATAAAAATGGCTAATTCTTGGCCCTCAGGCATGTAACTGGTAGTTCTCTTTAAAAAGTTTGATACAGGGGCACCTGGGTGGCTCAGTTGTTAAGTGTCTGCCTTTGGCTCAGATCATGGTGTGGGATCGAGCCCCACATCGGGCTCCCTGCTCAGCAGGAAGCCTGCTTCTCCCTCTCCCACTCCCTCTGCTTGTGTTCCCTCTCTCGCTGTGTCTCTCTCTGTCAAATAAATAAAATCTTTAAAAAATAAAAAAATAAAAAGTTTGCTATGTTTAGAAAATCTATCAAAAACATTAAAAAAAAAAAAGAAGGCAATTGTACCCAGTGTCTAGATCTTGAAGACAGTTTCAAAGAATGATAGAGGCTACCCACAAGCATGTGAGCCACAAAATAAAGTGTCAGTGGAATTCAGAACTTCAAGTAAAAGAAAAATCTTGCTACATATTCTGGTGACATTTCAGGCTTAGTTAGAAAGTTAAAGCTGAGAGAAGTAAAATATTTTCAATAGAAAAAAGAAACCCTCTTTTCCTTTGATTCTTAGACCCCTAGACTTAGAAATTCCAGTGGCAACCCTCTCGGATCCCCTCCCTCTTCGGGAGCTTTGTACTATCACTTTGCTATCTCTCAATAAGCCTTGCTTTGTGGCCCACCACTCTGTCTGGTCTACTTCTTCATACTTCGAAGCAATGTGACCAAAAACCGCAGGCACCAACGGAGAAAAAAATCCCGTGACAGTAGGGTTACTGCCACCAACACATACTGGTTCATTCCTTGGCTATGGAAAATGACTCAGGCAAGAAAGCAAAATACAGAATTCCTTAAGTTATCAATACTAATCTTCTTTAAAAAGGATTTGCAAATGACAGTCTCAGCCTGCTATGGACTGAATTGTGTCACAGTAAAATTCATGCCGAAGCTTTAATTTCCAATACCATAGTAATTACCTTGGGAGGTAATTAGAATTAGAGGAGCTTGTGTGGGTGAGGCCCTCGTAATGGGATTAGTGGCTTTATAGGAAGTGGAAAAGAGACAGCAATCACTCAACCCACCCAGTCTATGGTATTTGATTATGGCAGCCTGACCTGACTTAAGACACAGCCTACGAAGAGGTAATACCATATAAAAGTTGTGTAGCAGTTATATCACTGAACTTGCAGACAAAATGCAACTGAATGCCCAGGCAAGTTTTACAGTCAAAATCTGAACCTTCAAAATTTATGACAGGAACCCTAGAGTTGCAGCATGACAACGCTAACGTGGCGACCTTGGTCTTAGACCACATCATCCACAAGAAGAGAAATATACCATGAAAGTCCAGATTTTGCTTTTTCTAGAGTGAAATCGACACACTTTGTTTTGAGAGATTAATAATATCTCAAAGGTATGTGAGTTTTCGGTTTCCTTTAAATCTTAACGAAGAGCTTATTTCATACAAGAACATCAAATGACCAGCTAGCCTTAAAAAAATCATCCAAAGATCACCATAGCCAAATTCTGCAAATAACACTCCAATAAGCCAACCTAATTCCAAAAGCTAGTAGCCTGTGTCCAGAAGAGAAACTGACCTTAACAGCCTTATTATGCCATAGGTTAGTAGAAGCAGCACAAAAGGTTCAAATCTTTTAGGAACATTATCTCAATCTGCCGTAAAAGTTGCTGTAAAAGTCTGTTTGAGGTACCAAGGTGATAGGTAAAATGAACAGGACAGAAAGTGATAGAGGGAATCAAAGATGTTCAACTATATACATAAACATGGATTAACTAAAAGAAAATCAACTTTATCACTGCCAAATAAAACATGTGCTAGTGAAAGTGTCTCAAAGTTAACAGGTAAGGGAAAAACAGTAACAACAAATTACTCCACAAAGTACATGCTTTCAATTTTTATAACATCAAACTTTAAAAGGTGAAAAATTCCCTTAATGAACTCACAGTAAGTCTTCAAAGTATATTTGATAAGTGGATAAGATACATACTAATCCAGAACTCTGGTCTCTTCCTATTTGCACATGAACTCTGAAATAATTAATTCTTAGATTAACCCTTATTTAAATGAAAACCCTAAAATACTTTACCAAGTCAAATGGAGTTTTAAAGTTTCTCTGTCATTATACTGCTCAAAATGTTCAAGTAATGGGGAACACCATCTTTTTACTACCCCACTGAGGAGGTCTGCTTCTAAACTGGAAGCAAAGGACTCCAGAATAAATGATGACATAAACTCCATGAATTCAAATTAAGACCCTCTCGGGAAAGGGAAGATGATTTATATCAAGTGACAGACCTGCCAAATCTCTGAGGAATAATAATCCAAGGTCTTCTCATAAACTAAGTATTAGGAATAGAAAGAAAGGAGAGGAAATGAATAAAAAAAGATATAACATAATAAACTAAGGGCAGAAAGTAATAAAGCAAAATTAACAATATTCCCAATACTTGCTGTATTATCAATTATTTCCACTCACCAATTTCCACTGGTATCTTCCTAAGGAGAAATTTTAAGTATTTGAAAAATAGGCCATTACTTCAGGACTAAATGAAGTCTGTTCTTATTATAGTTCAGAAAGTTTCTTTAGGCTTTCCATAACCTCTATGAACACTCAGATTTTGGGCCATAGTAAGTATTGAAAGACTGTCACCTCTATAGGTGTTAATGAATAGGCCGTTAATTCCAAAAGTAGATGAGAGTGGCATGCTAAACTAGGTGTCTAACTCCATTTTCTAGTCCGTCAATCTATTCTATACACTGAGGCCAGATTAAGGTAAGATCATTTGCCAGCTGCATATGACCTTCAAAGCTAATTCCTAACCAATAAAATCTGAGGTAGAGCTTTGTATCCAAGGCCCCCTTGAATCTGATTCCACCATGTATTTTTTACCCTTAACATATTCTAGCCCGGTACTATACACTGGGACATTCACAGTGATCTGAATACTGCTGCTTCATGGTCTTCCTCATCTCTCCCAGTACTACCCTTCAACCCTTCAATTCTCACCACCAAAGCCATGCTGTCTGAGGCATTATCTGATTTTCACTGAAATCAGAAGTAACTGCTCCTTTCTCTAAATTTTCACACTCCATTCTTTGTACTTCTCTTAGTCACTCACCAGGTTCTATCTTATTTTATGGTGAGTGATTTATGTACATAAATAGTATGCTCCCTGATCACAAGAACTCATTACATCATCTTTGTGTCTCCCACAAGGCCTACCACACCATTTCCATAAAGATCAGCTGATTCACTAATGGACACCTCAAAAGACTCTGTGGTAAAGATTAATATATTTTAAGAAAAGAAGACATGTTTATATACGTTACATTTTAAACTTGAAAACCAGGAGTTTCCAAATCAACTATGCATTAATTCTTAAAATTATTAATGTCTATTCTTTAGTCTACATCCAAGTATTTTCACTTCTCACAAACAGATCACCAAATGCTATGGTCTGAATATGTGTCCCCCACCGACTTTATATACTGAAATCCTAACTCTCAAATACGAGGTATTAGGTGTGACTTTTCAGATGTGGTTAGGTAATGAGGGTGGAGCTGTCACAAATGGAATTAGTGTTCTTATAAAAGAGACCTCACAAAGCTCCTTAGCCCCTTCCACCATGTGAGGACAGAGAGAAGGCACCAGCTATGAACCAGAAGAGGGCCCTCATCAGAATGCAACTGGGCTGGACCCTTGATCTTGGATTTCCCAGCCTCTGGAACTATGAGAAATAATTTTCTGTTGTTTATAAGCGACCCAGGCTATGGTATTTTGTTACACCAGCCCAAAGAAATTAAAACACCAAACTTACCTCAAACAAGCGTAAATCAGCAGGAACTCTGTCCCCAACAGAAAGGCAAACTGTATCACCTGGAACCAAGTCTCGAGCAAGTGTATGTTCCAATTTTCCTTCACGTACACTGTAACATGAAACAGAAACAACCATGGCTGAAAAAAGAAAGCCACACCACTTATTTAAAAAAATTCTTTCTAGTGGGCTTACCTGAGGAAAAATATATTGTAGTATTATTACCACTTCAAAGAAGCTAAGTCAAATATAAGAAACTAAGCAAACAATTATTTTTCTATTCTTGGTAATTAAGATGTTCAGATGACAAAAAAAGCACCGGAAACAGTAACCAGTGATCGTTCAAACGTAAAATGTGAAAACTGAAGCAACCTTCTTATTCATCTGGGCCTGTCTGATTGTGCATCACTGCAACCCCAACAGTGCTTAGCACATAGTCACACACACACACAAAAACTGTTGAATAATTCCATGTCTCAACAATCTCAACATTAGAACTTAAATGTTTTAATATCACAACTTGCCACACTGAACAGAACATCAATTTTTCATGTCAGACTAATGATTTCTACCTTATGTTTAGACAAATCTGGTGCCACAATGTATACTGTACTACTCACATTCAATTTCTATTTTTAAGAGTGAAAATCCATTTTCATTTGTCTCCATGTATTTTTTGATTTCCTCTTTGAGTTCTTGGTTGGCCCATTTTCATTGTTTAGTAGCATGCCATGTAGCTTCCATGTATTTGTGTTCTTTCCAGATTTTTTCTTGTGATTGATTTCCAGTTTCATACCATTGTGGTCAGAAAAGATACATGATATAATTTTAATCTTTTTGAATTTATTGAGACTTGCTTTGTGGCCTAATATGTGATCTATTCTGAAGACTGTTCCATGTGCACTTGAAAAGAATATGTACTCCACTGTTTCTGGAGAATGTTCTGAATATATCTATTAGGTCAATTTGGTCTAATGTGTCAAAGTCACTGTTTCCTTGATTTTCTAAAAAAAATCAGTGGTCTAAAATCTTTGGGACACAGCAGTAATTAGGTTCTAAGAGGGAAGTTTATAGCAATACAGGCCTACTTTAAGAAACAAAGTCTCAAATAAACCTTACATCTAAAGAAGCTGGAAAAAGGAGACTAAGCCAAAGTCAGGAGAAGGAAAAAAAATAATAAAGATTAGAACAGAAATAAATAAAATGGAGACTAAAAAAAAAAAAAACAGATCAATAAAGCTAAGAGCCAGTTCTTTGAAAAGATCAACAAAATTGATAAACCTTTGGTCAGACTCCTCAAGAAAACAAGAGGGAGGACTCAAATAAATAAAATCAGAAATGAAGTAGGAAAAATAAATGATACCACAGGAATACAAAGACTTATAAGAGAATATTATGACAAATTATATGCCAACAAATTGGACAACTTTGAAGAAATGGATAAATTCCTAGAAACATATAACCTTCCAAGACCGAATCAGGAAGAAAGAAAATTGAACAGACTGATTACTAGTAATAAAATTGACAGTAGTCAAAAAATTCCCAGTAAAAGTCCAGGACCAGGTGGATTCACAGGTGAATTTTACCAAACTTTTAAAAAGAAGAGTTAAAGGGGAGCCTGGGTGGCTCAGTCATTAGGCATCTGCCTTCGGCTCAGGTCATGATCCCAGGGTCCTGGGATCGAGCCCCGCATCGGGCTCCCTGCTCAGCAGGAAGCCTACTTTTCCTTCTCTCACTCCCCCTGCTTGTGTTCTGTCTCTCGCTGTCTTTCTCTGTTAAATAAATAAATTTTTAAAAAATCTTTAAAAAAAAATTCTATAAAATAAAGAAGAGTTAATACCTATTCTTCTCAAACAATTCCAAAAAATGGAAGAAAAGAAAAGCTTCCAAATTCATTTTATGAGGCCAGTATTACCCTGACACCAAAACCAGATTAACACACTACAAAAAACAAAAACTACAGGCCAATATCTCTGATGAAGACAGATCTAAAAATCCTCAACAAAATATAAGCAAACCAAATCCAACAACACATTAAAAACGTCATTCACCACGATCAAGTGGGATTTATTTCAGGAATGCAAAGGTAGTTCAATATTCCCAAATCAATCAATATGATGCATCACATTAACAAGAAAGGATAAAAAAAAACTATATGATCATCTCAACAGATGCAGAAAAATCATTTAACAAAGTACAACATCCATTCATGACAAAAACTCAACAAAATAGGTTTAGAGGGAACATACATCAACATAACAAAGGTCTTAAAAGGAGAAACCCACAGCTAACATCATACTCAATGGTGAAAAAGAGCTTTTCCTCTAAGATCAGGAACAAGGCAAAGATGTCCACTACCACCACTTTTATTCAACATAGTACTAGAAGGCATTGCCACAGGAATCAGACAAGAAAAGAAAAAGCATCTAATTTGCTAAGGAGGAAATAAAACTCACTATCTGCAGATGACATGTTACTATATATAGAAAAACCATCCAGATTCCACCTAAAAACCACTGGAACTGATAATGAATTCAGTAAAGTAACTGGATACAAATTAAAATGCAGAAATCTGTTGCATTTCTATGCACTAATAATAATGAAGGAGAAAGAGAAACTAAGAAAACAAGCCCATTTACAATTGCACCAAAAAGAATGAAATACCCAGGAATAAACTAAACCACAGAGGTGAAAGACCTTTCCTCCAAAAACTATAAAACACTGATGAAAGAAACTGAAGACGAAACAAACAAATGGGAAGACCGACACAAAGATCAATGGAACAGAATAGAGAGCCCAGAAATAAATCCATGCTTATATGGTCACTTAACCTACAATAAAAGAGGCAAGAACATACAATGGGGAAAAGACAGTCTCTTCAATAAATGGTATTGGGAAAACTGGACAGCTACATGCAAAAGAAACTAAACCACTCTGTTTTACCATACACAAAAATAAACTCAAAATGAATTAAGACCTAAATGTAAGACCTAAAACTATAAAACACCTAGAAGAAAACACAGGCAGTAATTTCTCTGACATCTGCCACAGAAACATTCTTCTAGACATGTCTACTCAGGCAAGGGAAACAAAAGCAAAAATTAACTATTGGGACTACACAAAAATATAAAGTTTGTGCACAGCAAAAGAAACCATAACAACAACAAAAACACACCAAAAAAACCCCCAGCAACCTACTGGATGGAGAAGGTATTTGCAAATAATATATCCAAAAAGGGGTTAATATCCAAAAGATATAAAGAACTCCTACAACCTGACACCAAAAAAAAACCAAAAAAACACCACAACAAATAATCTGATTAAAAATGGACATGAATAGACAGTTTTCCAAGAAAGACACACAGCCAACAGACACATGAAAAGATGTTCAACATCACTAATCATCAGGGAATGCAAATCAAAACCACAATAAGATTATCACTTTAGATCCGTCAGAATGGCTACAATCAAAAAGACAAGAAACAACAAGTGTTGGTGAGGATGTGGAGAAGGAACCTTCACGCACTGTTGGTGGGAATACAAACTGGTGCAGCCACTGTGAAAAACAGAATGGACATTTCTCAAAAAATTAAAAATAGAATTACCATATGATCCAGTAATTCCACTACTAGGTATTTTCCCAAAGAAAATGAAAACATTATTTCAAACAGATAAATGCATCCCTATGTTTACTACAGCATTATTTGCAATAGCCAAGATATGGAAGCAATCCAAGTGTCCATCCATAGATGAATGGATAAAGAAGATATGGTGTACGTATACACATACACACACACACACACACACACACACACACACACACACACACACACAGGAATATTACTCAGCCATAAAAAAGAATGATATTTCACCATTTGCAACAACACAGATGGACCTAGAGGGTAGAAAGCTAGGTGAAATAACTCAGAGGAAGACAAACACCATATGACTTCACTCAAATATGGAATTTAAGAAGCAAAACAAAAGACAAAAGTGACAAACAAAAAAACACTCTTAAATACTGAGAACAAGCTGGTGGCTGCCAGAGGGAAGATAGGTGAGGGTGTGGGTAAAAGAGATAAAGGGAATTAAGAGTATACTTACAGTGATGAGTACTGAGTAATGTAAACTGCTGAACCATTGTATTATATGCCTGAAACTCTTTTAACACTGTATACAAATTATAATTCAATTAAAAAAAATTAGAAATCCGTATCAGAAACAAGGATCATACCAATGGCATTCTGGTGGCATAAGTTTACTCAGTTCTTCAAGAGATTTTTCTGAACGATATTCCTATTTATTAAAAAAAAAAAAAGCAGAACATAATATTAAGAGAAAATATTTATAAAGAAATGCAAATATATATGTTCTTATGTACATATTCCATATTAGACTTAAGTAAATAATAATCTCATTTTTTAAAAACTTCCCCCAGTTCTTATCTTTTCCTTTACTTGCACTTATATTCCTAACACATAAAAGTTTATTCCTTATTAAATAATGTTAAATTATAGTGGCCAAACAATTCTGACAAGTAAATATTCCCAATTCTATATGTTAATATTCAATGTGAAACCTAAGGTCAGTTTATTTATAAGAAAATGAAGAACACTCATTAGTGTGTCCAAAAAGTATATAATTTTCAGTCATTAAAAGTTAAAATCATTGAGCCTCATGATTAAGATAATTTTACTTTTAGTGTTTAATGACCAAAGAAGTCAAAGACAATTAACTGCAAGCAACATCTGCTTTGAAGATATAAGCACATGCTTACTGCAAAGGTTTATGAAGTTTCTTAGAAAGAACATCTGTTAAATAAGAGTGAGTTGTGGCTGGCACTACTTTCACAGACATCTTTCCCATCACCCTGAATTATCCAAAAGAGGACATTCTCAGGAGCCCCAAGTCTGCCATGCTCCAGCCTTTCTCTAATGCATATAATCAAAGCTGAGAGTCAGAGACATCTTTCATCTCATCATACTACTTAGTCCACGTTTCCATGGGCAGTCTTGCTTCACATAACATCACTGCTATTTCTGTCTCATGTCTGTACTAAATACACCATTCTTTTGATCTAAGTTTAAAAATGGAGAGGGGTGAGTAGTGGGAGTGAAACTTGGGGAGTGTTTTGAAATGACTGCAGTGCTAGTGCTATTCAAAAGTTCATACCCATCACAAACTTTTTGAAATAGCAAATGCAAAGCTATATAAGAGTAACTTAGAATTAAACGAGTATTTACTTAGGCAAGAGGAACAAATGTGAGAGTAAGGCAAATCTATAATATGAAAATTCTAAATACCCCTCCCCCAACCATAACAAGGATATTAAGGAATTTGGAAGTTTTACCCAAAAATTCCACAGAAGGCTAGAAAACACTCACCAATCCTAGATCCTAGTAATAAATGGCATAGAAGCTGCCCAATCTTTACCTCCCTTTTCAGACTTCTTAGGCTTCACTCCCTACAACTACAGAGATACTTCTGTATCAAAATGACCTTTTAACATGTCACTAAAAACCTGATAGCCATCTCTAATGAACATTTAAAAGTTATATTTTAAGTTTATTTTAAGGTGGCATCAATGTATGACAATATAAAACCAGCTATTTTCATGGCTGTGAAGGTATACAATGGGGTGAGAAATGGAGATTTTTGAAAGAGAGGGAAAAAAGGGTAGACATAAGTATAAAAATATACAAGCACTCTCCTCCTAAAACCCAGATAAAAACACAAATATTAAATAAGACAAATCATTGAGAATTTCAGAGTTTTGGTAATTTTCTGACAAAGCACTATAATAAGTTCAAGTGGCAGCAAATAGGATCTTTTAGAGAGGGTTTTTAATTGCAGTTTATACAGAATATTTTGTTGGTTTCAAGGCACATTTGGGTAAAAGGTTTATGTATGTATAAGAAACCAGACCTACCAATCTAAAACTGGGCCTTTCATAACTGTTTCAATTCTTTCTGGAGTTTTCCATCAACTGAACCTATCACAGAGATATTTAGCAGATAGTTTCTGCTATTGCATTCACAGTGTGTAACATGCAATCTTTGTGGAAAATTCCACACTATGTTAAAATCACAATTTTGTAGGTTTTTTTGAGGTAGGTGCTCTCTACACATCAACAGAACAAGCAAAGGTCCTCTTATCCACAGTGATAATACTGGAGGAATCCTTCTGAAGAAAGTCACTCCGTATTTCTCAAGCATTATTAAAGATGCAAGAGGGTCCCAGTTACTGGTTGAGTGGATAGTACCACCCAAATGTCTGAATGAAGAGCTGCCTTGAATGATGACCAGCCTGGAAGGACCTCTCTGCTACACTAACTAGCTCTACCTGCCCCAACGCAACTTTTGTCTGTTCTAAGCAAAAAAGATTCCCTGGAAACAGAATCCCTGATGGTCTACTGATGGAGCTCACAAACTTGCTGTAGATAATCTGATTACAACAGACTTTTCCACAGTGGGTTACTGTAAACTAATAACTAATTAGTTAGAGATTGCCACAGGAAGCCTGGATAATGACAGGAAATACCCAAGGAATTAACCACAGTGTGAAAATAACCACAATCACTTAAAATATAGTCTTAAGAGTGAAAGCAACATGAACTTGAGTACCAAACAAAACATTTTCCCCTAAACGAGAACAGTCCTTTTTTTTTTTTGAGTAATCTCTACACCCAATGTGGGGCTCGAACTCACAACCCTGAGATCCACAGTCACCCAATTGAGCCAGCCAGGTGCCCCAGTCCTTCTATTCTTATGAACTATGCTTTAAAACTTTTAGCTAATAAAATGAGACCTGCCAACATTGTTCTAAAATATGAAGTTATCTGGGCACCTGGGTGGCTCAGTTGGTTAAGCGACTGCCTTCGGCTCAGGTCATGATCCTGGAGTCCCTGGATCGAGTCCCACATCGGGCTCCCTGCTCGGCAGGGAGTCTGCTTCTCCCTCTGACCCTCCCCCCTCTCATGTGCTCTCTCTCTTTCTCTCTCTCTCATAAATAAATGGAATCTTAAAAAAAATGTATTTCATTAAAAAAATAAAATAAAATATGAAGTTATCAGATATTAAACATAAAACTAAGCCTACGTTTTTATATATGACTACACTTGTGATAAAAATCCTGACATTATCTCCACATTATTCACATTTCATTTTTAAAAGGAATTCCCTCATCATTTTACTGTTTCAATGTCTATGCTGAATTGGAAATTTGATCCAGATCAGAGCATTCTTTCTGTGTAGGAAATGAGGAATTTAAACCTGGCCCAATTTTTTAATTGAAAAAAATTTTTAAACCTGTTCCTGGCTTTTATTTCTATTACTGTGCTTTTTGTTTCCATCTGCTTCAGTTACCTTTAATTTCATCAAATAAAAAACTACATTTTCGGGGCGCCTGGGTGGCTCAGTCGTTGGGTGTCTGCCTTCGGCTCAAGTCATGATCCCAGGGTCCTGGGATCAAGCCCCACATCGGGCTCCCTGCTCAGCAGGAAGCCTGCTTCTCCCTCTCCCCCTCCCTCTGCTTGTGTTCCCTCTCTCGCTGTGTCTCTATCAAATAAATAAATAAATAATCTTTAAAAAAAAAAAACACTACATTTTTTTCTTCATGCTACTATCTAAATCAAAGCAGTCAAGTTAGTTCCACAAAGTACCCTGGAGAACTAAATTTCTGAAATCATTTCAAAAACAAAGAATGAATTGTTCTGACCAAAATTACCATCCCCCAATAACCAAAGATTTTCTCATAAGCCACCTTAGTTTTTTTAAGCAATTAACTAAAATACCATTTTCATGCTGACAAAGTAGACCACCTACTCACCTGAACAAAGGCTACCGTGACGACAATAAGTATTGCCTAAACAAAACAAAGAAATAACCTTTTAAAGCAGAAATTGTAACTTCAGAAATAACTGTTAATCATGTTTTATTTTTCTAACTCTATTTGCAGTCCCCAGATACCAGACACTAAGCACTGAGATCAACTGGGGGAAGAAATCACAACTCTGCCTTAGGGGAAAAACTGACAGCCAAAGTGCCTTGCCTCCCCTAGGACAACTTCTCAAATTTGATCTCAAGATCCCTTTCTGCTCTTACAAACTGAGGACCAGCTTTTATGTGGGATATAACCTACTGATATTTACCATAATTTAATACTCTTAATTGCTCAGTTTTAATTACTCCTTAATTCATCTAAAAAGTAATAAAACCATTGCATGTTAATACATACATTTTTTATGAAAAATACACTTTCCAAATAAAAAAAATTTGTGAGAAAAGTGCAAGTGTTTTCAATTTTTCTATCTTTGATGTCTGCCTTAATACAAAGCTGGATTCTCACATTTGCTTCTGCATTTAATCTACTGTCCTATGTATAGGCTGAAGTATAGGAAGAAAACCTAATCTCATACAGATATTGTTGGAAAAGGAAGGAGTATTTTAAAAGCCTTTTCAGATTGTGGATATTCTTCTTAGCTACTACACCCAAATTAGACAAGTGCTAGTTACTTAATTTGCAATAGAGAATCTAAGCTGTATCAATGAACTTTTCATAATTATAGTAAAATCTACTGATCTATTTTCAATTTGAATGGATCTTTGATCACTGAAAACATTGTAACATCTTACACTAGTCATTTAGAAAATACCGATTTACTTGGTTATTCAAACCTTTCAAGTGTTGACGCATTTCATAATAGTAAAAAAAATCATATTCATTGAAATACTACTGATCTCTTTAGAATGAAGTCTTAAATATTAGGAAGCTATTTAGCACACAGTAATTCATAAATATTTTGCAAAATTCTATCACTTGAAAGCTTGAATTTTATCACCAGCAATAAATGTTCTTTATTTTTCTTGAAGTGATAGTATTTCATCATTTCATTCACTTCCTAAAAAAAAGTATGTCAGTTATTCAAGTCTTAATAACCAAGTTTGTCTATCATTCATTCATTCTAGTAAAGCCTAGTTCAGCTCACCACAATCATCCTTCCTTGAAACAACCATTGTACCTCAATATATGTAGGTCCTTTATGCATACTTCCCATTTTATTACACAGAATATTCAAAAGGTATGTACTCAACTGTCAAGATTTAATGAAATTAATTTTTACTGCTTTATGAAAAACACTCCTAAGAGAAAGAATGAAAGAAAACAATGCCCACTAGTACAGGTTGGTGCCATTATTCTGACTTGAGTCAACGCTCACTTTTACCTGCCACTGCTCTTGCACCACTGATGCAAACATACAAAGCAAAAATAATGTTTGAGTATTACATAAACAGTTTGACCTTACATGCTCCCTGAAAGCGTCTTACAGACACCTGGGAGTCCATAAGCAAGAGCTCAAGAACTGCAGCTCTATATTAATTTCTACTGTGTTCTTACACGTAAACATATCTGCTTTAATCAATGCTTGTACTTGCTATAAATTTTTATACTACAATAAAACACAGGACAAGAAAAAAAAGAAGAGGAAACTTTCAATGAAAGCTAGAACAGCTTAGCCAGAAAAAGAATAAAATCTTACAAAGTAAACAGTGTTCATTGTTATATATTTTTAATTTCATAATCATCAGGCTTCAGTTCACAGTCAAAACATTCTCAAAGAAAGTAAACTAAATTGAAATTTTAACCAGAAATTTATTATAAAATATTTCATATCTGTAAAATTACAAGGTTGTTAAATAATTCTCAGGAGTGCCAATCACAGACCATTGAACATTACTTGAGATTACTGCAACAAAATGCAGAATTTGGACATTAACAAAAAACCTGAAGAAACATTAGGCACTTCTCAATTCATTTTCCAAAATAAAAGCCAATCCTAATTTTAAACAATTATCCAATAATTTAAAAATATAAATATTTTCTTACCACAGTGATACTGACAGCATCATCAAACTGATGCATTAAAACACTGATGACTGCAGAAGCCAGGAGCAGCATAATAAGGGGATTTTTAAACTGAAAGTGAAAACAAACAGCAATTCAACGGTTTTGTATGAATGGTAATTGTGTTCCATCACAACAAAAACTTAAAAAAAAAACACGACTGAGGCATGATTAGAAAATTATTAAGTCTACATTTGAATGAGATTTTTTATGTCTCTTTAATTAACAAAAAAAGTATTTACACTTAACTACATTTAAAAGTCACCGCTTCATAACAGTACCTTTTCAGAAGAAAAGAAAATTAAATATCAATATTAAAACTAAGAATTTACCAATTCCTTATGGTACACGTGTATTTTTGGTACATTAATTTAATAAATATAGCTGGTCTGCATTTCTACTGAGGCTAGAATAAGTGGAAAATGAATTTTAAGATAAAAATTTAGGTTAACACTGGGTACAACACCTAAATTAAGATCCAAACATACTTAATAAATTAGCACAGATTACAATTCTGTGGTTGACCCACATGCCCCAGGAATAATCGTAGCTAAGAACCAACAATAAATAAGATCCACTCCACAGAAGCTCAAGATTTTCTAAATGCTGGTTTTCCTATTATCTATCTGGCAGAGGCAATAGTATCTAAAGAAACAGAACCACAACATCAACCCAACCAGGCAGCACTTAAATGACCAAGCACCAGAGCCACCCTAAATTCTTCCAGTTGGACATCCTATACTCCTTAAACATCAGAGCTCTGTTGCCAGAACCTCTTCCTCTGATGAAGTGGTGCCAATCACTGTTAAAGGTGCAAAGTAACTAGGCTACAAAGAATTCATCCCACCAGAGAGCCCCAGCCCCTAGATACCACAGCAGCGAGGTTAGATGCCATCACTTCCCCCTCCGCATATGACTCCATTCCCTGGCACAGGGGTTCTGACCCTGCTTCACATCAGAATCATGTGAAGAACTTCTAACACATGCCTAGGTTCACACCAGACCAATTAAATCAGAATCTCTGGGCATAGGGCCCAGGCTTCAGCATTTTTTAAGCACTCCCCAAGTGATTCTAACGCCTAGAAGATTGAAAATCACTACTCTTAACAAACTAAAACTACAACGGCAATGTGGTTCAGGGTTGACAAACCACACACACTTAACTGAGTCAGAGTACCTGGGTTTAAATCCAGCTCCTGTCACTTGTGTATGACCCAAGTTCTTCATCTCGGAAAATACTACCTTATACCAAGACTGTGGTAAAGATTAACTAAGAATGTATTGTGTGAACCATAAAAGCCGCTTCAAATGTTAGCTCTTAGCATCACAAATTGAGAACAAGACCCATGGGCTTTTTTTATTACGACCTCTAAAACAGCTGTGCCAAAGTAGCAAGCACGCCACCTGATTAACAACGGCAGGCTCCAGACAAATGTTTGCAAAGCAACAAACTCAGTGTTCTTTGTAGAGGAATAGAGTCACCCAGTGCTTTATGATTAACAACTGATATTTACTGTTAATTGCTGCTTGTGCTTAACTACATTACACTACTTCTGTTTCATTCTCACAGCAATCCCATGATGCAGGTAGTCAAGCTTTGAAACAGGAGTAAGAAAGTAAAACATTAAATTATACTGCCTAGTAATAAGTCCAATCACTGTAGTTTATAAATCTAGAATGAACTTCCTAAAGTTTTAGGTAATGTGGATAGGTGGTAAATGTGAGAATACAAACATGCATATAAAAAATATTCTACAAACACATGACAGATACACACAAGGTTCTTTTAATCTCTAAAAATTCAGTTTTTCCATTTTAAACAAACTCATTTGCAAAATTAAGACTGATAAATTTGGGCCCATTAACAGGCCCTTTAGAAAAGTTACACATAGATCTTAAAAAAAAAAAAACTGTACTTAGAAGGCATTAAAAGTTTTCTTTACTAAAAAGAACTTGTTAAAAAATAAATAAGTAAAAATAAAAAGAACCTGTTTGGCAAACTAACCCTACTAGGTGAAAACTGGCCATAGGATTCTTGGAACTTTTCACACTAACATACTTGTTACCAAGTTAAAAAAAAAATCCTACAATAAGTCTTCCTGAAAAGATTAGGATATTGACAAAATATAAAAATAGCTATTGTTTATTGATAGCTTACTATCTCCTAAAATTATTATCCTCATGTTATAGATAAGACTAAAAGGATAATAAAGATCATAGAGCTAGTAAGAAATAAAGACAGAATTTGTACTCAGGCAGTCTGGATTCAAACTACCTTATTTTTACTACGTTTTCTAAGCTGGCCATATTACTTTAAAAAATATTAGCGTTCCTTAATAAGACAAATATAAGGTAGACATCTGTAAAGGAAACTACTGTTCACAGTATTATTCCATGTTATACAACCGTAAAGATTTGCACACTAAAAATTATAGAAGTTCCAACTTAACAGCAAACCCTAACAGAAAAAATGTAGGTAAAAAACATTTTTTACAAATTATTTCCTTTCTCTACAAAACAAAACAAAAAAAAACTTGACAAAAGTAAACAACCACACTAACAAAAATACATATAAATTACACAGCAGAGGAGGAAATAAAAATATTTCACCTGAGAAATATACTTCTTCCATAGTGGCTCATCTTCACTGATATCAAACTCATTCCAGCCATGGAAGGCTCGCCTATGACTTACTTCACATTTGTTTAGACCATTCTGAAGATCAGCCTATTAGATTTTACATATAAAAGTTACTAAAAATGTTAGCAAAGAGCAAAAGAAGAAAAACACAAGGGTACATATTGTATGTTCATATTTGTAAGAATTTATACAACAGTCAAAACTAATCTGTTGTAACAAAAAGCATTATCAGTGGTTGCCTGGGGCCAAGAGCAAATATCTACTTAGATTAACTGCAGAGGGACCTGAGGAACTTCTAGTAGTGATGAAAGTGTTCCATATCTTAATTCTGATGGTGGTTAACATGTGCCAAAATGTAAACTGTTCCGTTAATATGGGTACATTATATTTCATATAAATTATACCTTGATTAAAAAAAATTACTGATGTACAGGTAACATACATTATATTAGCACATTTTTTTTAAAAATGTAAGCAACAAGGTATAGTTTAATAAACAAAAGACTTATGATTTTCTCTGGGAAGAAAGAAACAAAAACCAGCCACATGACTTACAGAAAGCAAAGTATCAGTACATTTTAATTAGCTTTCTTTGCTTTCATTGTTTTATTTTCTAAAATTAGTTTCTCCAAAAGAACATTCAATGGACCATAACTGCCTTTCTTGTTCTGTGAGCCTATCAAAACCCTCAGATTAGTTTACTTTTTACTCCTGGACTGTGTAATTATTTCAAGCAGATAATTTGTGGTTCCTAAATTACTAAAAATATTTATGTTCTATGAACACCACCTAAATTCTTCAGTCACTGCAATATTGTGATTTGTAAGAAATGTATATGTTATCTGGTCATTCAGATGCCCAAAACATATTCCTCATTTGTATATGGTCTTCCTCCAGGGTTGCTGGCTCACAGCTCCTAAAACCCTTGGAATTTCCTGGGATGATGGCAATAAAGGTGTCTTTTGTTGTGTGAATGAAGGTGACTCTTGGACCCCACCCAAGAGCAGCAGCTGGTAGACAAGAGGACCAACCACATGATTACAGGGTTCAGTCCTAGCACCCCCACCACCATTCTCCCTCACCTCTGAGGAGGAGAGACAGGATGAAGCCTGAATCAGCCAAAGGCAAGTGCCTCAGTCAACCATGCCTAAGCAATGAAGCCTCCATAAAAGCCCAAAAGAACTGGGTTTGGAGAGCTTCCAGGTTGGTGAACACACGGAGACTAGGGAGAATGGAATACCTGGAAAGGGCATGGAAGCTCTAGGCCTTTTCCCCATCCTAGACCTATGTATCTCTTCATTTGGCTGTTGACTTATATCCTTTATCGTATCTCTTTAATAAATTGGTAAACGTTAAGTGTTTCCCTGAGCTCTGTGAGCCACTCTAGAAAATTAAATGAACCTAAGAAGGAACCTCTAATCTGTAGTGGGTTGGTCAGAAGCATAGGTAACAGCATAGGCCTGTGACTGACTTCTGAAGTCAGGAGTAAGGGGCAGTCTTCTAGGGCTGAACCCTTAACCTATGGAATCTGATGTTATCTCTGGGTATTGTTGGAATTGAGTTAAATTATTGGGTGTCCAAGAATTGCTTGGTGTTATATGTAGGAGAACCCCCCCAACCATGTTGGAACTGGGTCTGGGAAACTTAGAAGAGTCATTGTCTCTCATGATTTATTATCATACCTGTCATTTAAGAATGAAATTACCTGCATCCCTAAAATAATCAGTTTCTCTGGCCAAAAGCTTTACAATAGTTTGATAACAGTCTCGCAACACTTAAAAATATTTAAAATAAATGGTTTTAAAACAATATAAATACAACCAAACACCCTCAAAAAATATATATCCAATGTTTTTAATGCCATCATTAAAATACAGGAATTTTGAAGGAAAAATAAAAAAAGTATTCATGTTACATCAGTTTGTGCTTTTAAAACTAGGAAGAGATTAAATTTCATAAGCAATTAAAGTTTACTTGCAGTCCCTATCTTGCACTTACATTTTACTTTACTTTAGAAAACACTTAACAAAAAAAGATAAACTCCTAACTCTACTTATGTTAATAAATTGATTATTTTATTAATCCAACTAATCCTTACACAGCATTAATAGTTCCTCACAATGCTAATGACCTAGAGTTGCACTGTCCAATCAGGTAAACACTAGCCACCTGCAGCCATTTAAATTTTAATGAATAAAAAATAAATTAAATTCAGTTCCTTACCTAAATATCCACACTGCAAGTACTCAGTAGTCATATTTAACTATTGGCTACTGTACTGAACAATGCAGAACACCACACTTATGTCATCAGAGAAAATTCTATTGGATGGCATTTACCTATGTCTAAATGACTGATTTTACTATTTATTCCCTACCTCCCCACCAAGCACTTACTTGGAGAATGCTTGCAACTTCACTGACGGGTAATTCACTTGCTTTTTTTGATGTCAATACAGGAATCATTGTCTCATTTTCACCATTAGGAATTTTTTGAAAACGTGCAACCTAGCAAATAAAACCAAAGGAAAAATATTTGAATATACCAAAAAATTGGAATGCAGCCTACAATAAATGAAAATCCAAATGTTCACAGAAACTTAGTTTCCAGTTAGAAAACAAACATTTTGAGAATAATATCTAGTCCTCATAAGATAACTTTCTACTAACCATGTACTATTCTCCAGAAAGCACATCTCAAAAATCAAGCCACCAGTGCCAGCTAGAACACAAAATAATTTCCACATTAAATAAAAAAGATGCTATTTCTACAGCAATGTAGTGAGTGAAAAGTAAAACAGATGTCCCGTCTAGCAGATCCTAAGAATTACATGTAGTCATAATCCTCTAAACTCATTATGTTTAACAGGAAAGACAGAGAACGGCTAAGCTTTCTCCATTTTAACTACTCTGTTGGTTAGCCCATTTCTTAACTGTCCAGAAAAACACCTGACTACTCTACATAAGCACCAGGACAGCAAGTCAGATTTAAAAACCCATTCCCAAACTAGCAGGAAAACAAAGAGCAAAAGAGAGACCACACAAGCAGAGGATGCACAGTTAGGGAAGGGGCTGTGAACAAGCAGAGTAAATCACAGAAATGGTGGTAACTATGGTATCTACTTGATGCAGCTCCATAAGCAAGTATCTACAGAAAAGTGTTTATTTAACACACTTCCAGAAATAAATCCCCAATCCAGACTTGTCTTGGGTCCTAAGCTGACAGATTAATCTTTATAGACAAAAAAAAAAAAAGTTTTGAATAAGTAGGAGAAAGGAAGACAAACTCTCCCCACAGAAACTTTAGGGAAGAAAACATTTTAGTTCCTACACATCCACTGATTAAAATACTGAAATTGTAAAATAATACTGAAACTGAAGTGATCATCTTACTGCCAAGACACACGTCTTTAAGCTTTCAGATGGAATGTTTTCAACCTTGGATAATCAACATTTTTAGGATAAAATATTTCCCTAAAATTTTTTTGACACAACACTTCTTTAAGACAACAAATCAGACTGGGACACCTGGGTGGCTCAGTACTTAAGCATCTGCCTTCAGCTCAGGTCATAATCCCAGAGTCCTGGGATCAAGCCCCGTGTAGGGCTCCCTGCTCGGCAGGAAGCCTGCTTCTCCCTTTCCCACTCCTCCTGCTTCTGTTCCCTCTCTCCCTGTGTCTGTCAAACAAATAAAATCTTATTAAAAAAATGAGATTGATCAAAGAAGAATAACCTTAAGTTTCTATTATTGTAAGACAATAATAGAGACCTGTATACTGTCATTATAGAGGTCTGTGTACATAAAAAAAAATCGTTACGCTTACTCCAAAAACCAGTAAATAGCTATGGGAAAAAAAGTACTCCCCCAGTGTAACTGAGTTCTGGAACAATCAAATACATACATGTTTTCTAATCTCATTTATTTAAAAGGCATTCCTGAATGTTTAAGTGCTTTAAAGCAAGAAGTGGAAGTATTTTTCCACTTTTAATGAGAAGATATTAGTAACCAAAATTTCTGAGGAAACTGGAGACAGATTACCTTTCATACAAAACAAAGTCTTGAAATTATTTAAAGCATATTTTTACATAATTAAGAAATACAAAACCTTAAAAAAAATGGAAATTTCATAAAAGTTGTACACGTTTTAGAGCCACTGAATGTCCTTATTTCAAACCTATAAAACAAAGTGGGACGGGAAAGATTTAACTGAACCATCCCTAAATTAAAGACTGGAGAAACCCTGCAAAAATACTTGACACTTAAAACAATGAGAACTAAACCAGTGTGACATGCTTATTTTATCTTGTGAGATCTTAAAGCAAAATTAAGAAGGAACAAATATATTTACATTACCTACAGTGACAATGAGATTAATAAAATCTTTTATTTTTAAGATTCCTATACCTCAGCTTCTTCACATATAAAATAGGGGTAATAGTGCGAAAGTTGTGTGAAAATTACATCCATTAATAAAGCACGTGACCCACTAGTAATAAGGACTGAAATAGCTATTTCTCTCCAAAAAGTATTTAATATTTACATGTATATTCACCAATACAGTTAGCTCAATACAGAACTAAATGCCAATCAAAGTGAGTAAAGTTAGATTTGCAGTAATTTTTATTAAAATGTACTTTTTGGGGGGGTGCCTGGGCGGCTCAGGCAGTTAAGCATCTGCCTTCAGCTCGGGTCATGATCCCGGGGTCCTGGGATGGAGCCCCACATCGGGCTCCCTGCTCTGCGGGAGGCCTGCTTCTCCCTCTCCCACTCCCCCTGCTTGTGTCTCTTTCTGTCAAATAAATAAAATCTTTTAAATAAATAAATAAATAAAATGTACTTTTTGAGGCGCCTGGGTGGCTCAGTTGGTTAAGCAGCTGCCTCCAGCTTGGGTCATGATCCCAGGGTCCTGAGGTCCAGCCCCAAGTTGGGCTCCCTGCTCAGTGGGGAGTCTGTTTCTTCCTCTGCCTCTCTTCCCCCTACCACCCGTTTGTGCTCTTTATCTCTCTCAAATAAATTTTAAAAATTAAAACTAAAATAAAAAATAAAACGTATTTTTCAATCATTGATACAGTGGAAATTGCCATCCTAAGTACCCAATACATAGTACAAGAGCCTTTCTTATAAAATCTTTTTAAAGGAATCTTTTGGTAGTTGTTACAAAAGACAGGGTCTGGGGCGACCGGGTGGCTCAGCTGCTTAAGCATCTGCCTTCAGCTCAGGTCATGGTCTCAGGGTCTGGGGATTGAGCCCTGCATCAGGCTCTGCTTCTCCCTTTCCCTCTGCTACTCCCCCTGCTTGTGCTCTCTCCCATGCTCTCTCTCTCAAATAAATAAAATCTTAAAAAAGAGAGAGAGAGAGAGGGTCTATGTTGGAATACACTCTCCATAAAATCCCTCATGAGCATTCCATGGGCCCAAAAGAGCTGAAAAACTCAACAGAAGAAAGTAAGACTATTTTGCTTAATAATGGTTAAGACACTGAAGGGACATGATGGTAATGATCTAAATATATGAAAAGCTGCCATGTGAAAGAGGGAAACACCAAAACCAAAGGGTGAGTTTCTAGCCAACCAACTTCTGGAGTTAGAATGAAGAGCACTAGATGTGTTCTGGCAAAGGCTAGACAGCCATATGATGAGGACGGATTTCACTGAAAGGATTGCTATTAATAGGGGGAGGCTACAGAACAAATTTCTTAGCCAAAGGCAGCAATCTCAACTAGATTTATGCCTACTAGATTCTATTTCAACCTAAAATTATGGAAATTATTGAATTTTAATCCTGTTTTCTTTTTAAGCAAATGTTATCTTTAGTAGTTCAAATCGATCATTACTTCTACGACATGTATGAGTAATCTGTTCACTCATTTACTCTTTCAACAAACACTGCATTTATTGAGAATCTGACTCTGCAGTAGGCCCTTAGTATTAACAATGAGCAAAAACAGCTTGAAGGGGAGGAGGGAAGAGGAAGGGGACAAACGTTATCAAAGACAGCACTAATGGAAAACTGAAAATGATCACTACAATGAAGAAGTCCATGGGCATGAGAGCTTACACAGAGACTGCAATTCGGACAGGGAAATTTTCATGAGAAGTGATGCTTATAGAATTGAAAGCTGCCTAAGGGAAGGGATGGAAGAAGTGAGGGAACTGAGTGTACAAAGTTATCCCAGGAAAGGGGGGAGCATGGCAAAATGAAGTACTAAAAGAAAGCCAACATTTATTCACTTATTCATTCCATCTTTAGACACATAATCAATGTTTATTATGTGCCAGGCACTGTTGTTGGCACTGACCAAAAGGTAAGAAGACTAGCCTCATGAAGCTATATACCAATAAGAAAGAAAAGACTATAAATAATGTACTATATAATAAATACTCCAGAAAACAATTTAAAAAGGAAGGATAAGTAGGGGAGGAATTGCTTCAACTTACATGGGGGGGGGGGGAGGAGCAGGGAGGACCTCTCCAGTAAGGTGGCATTTGGGCACAGATACCTGAAAAAAAGCAAAGGAACTAGCCATTAGATCTCTAGGTAGATCTGTCCAGGCGGTGGGCAGGTATGTGTACATACAGGAGAGGTCCAGGCTAGAGATACAAGTGTGGGTAGTCATGAACATATAAATGGTATTAAAACTGAGAATAAACCATACCAGCACAGAAGAAAGGGAAGAGATCTATGGGCTGACCCTAGGGCCTTCTCCCAACATAGCAATCAGAGATGAGCAGTAACCAAGAGAAGAGACCAAGAAGAAGCAACCAGTGAGGTAAAAAGAGCACCAAAAGGGAAGTCAAGTGAAATAAGTATTTCAAAGAGAGTGTAAATGGCTAGGTCAAATGCTAGTGAAATATTAAGATGAGGACTGAAAACTGACCATTGACCTTGGCAACACAGAGATAAAGAGAGCAGTTTCAATGGAGTGGTGGTAAACAAAAATCAGACAGGAGTGGTTTCAGAGAAAACAGCAGGAGACAAGGTGGAGACAGCACATATAGATAATCCTTTCCAGTTCTGCTGTGAAAAGGGGCGGAGAAATGGATTATAGCCAGAATGGAGTGTAGGTTTCAAGAGCTGGTTTTTTTTTTTTCTAATAAAAGAAATAACAGCATGTTTATATGCTGATCAGAATGACCTGTCAGAGGAAAAACTAGTAATTTAGAAGAGAGATGGGACAACTGATAAAGTGATGTTCTTGACTAAATGAGAGGGGATGGAATCTGACATATTTGTAGAGGGACTGGCCTTAGATAAATGAATAGACAGTTCATCCACAGTTACAGATGGGAAGGCAGAGTAACATGAGAAGGATGCAGGCATGTTGGTAGCTGTGGTAGAAGAAACATATGGAAATAGTCTTCTGAGAATTATCTAGATTGAAAAAACTCAGGACATATAAAGCAAAAAAAAGCTAAAGAAGTAGGTGAGGATCCTACAGGGCCCTATGGGTCATATTATGGAATTTCTGTCTTAATCCTAAGAGCAAATGGAAGGCCTTGCACTGTGGTCTTAAAAGTAAATAAATAAAAGGCACAAATTGGAAAATGAAAAAAAAAAAAAACCAGAATAAGAGTGGTGAAAACACACAAGCTTGGACACTATTACGTACGTCTAAACGAGATAAATGTAGCTTGGACAAGGGTGGTGGGGTGTAGGAACAGATGCACCTCTAGGTAAAAATAACAGTACACGATAATGAACTAGACACATATATCAAAGAATTATACTAGATTTCTAGCTTGTCTTATATGCTAAATACTAATGCTATTCACCATGGTAAAGAATATTGGAATATTCTTTTTAACCAATGGTGCTGTGACAACTACATATCCATACAAAAAAAGCATAAAGCTGGATCCTTCCCTCACACCGTATACACAGATGTATATGTGTATACATATACATATGTGTATACTCAAAATGCATCAAAGACCTAAATGTAAGAGCTTAAACTACTAAACTCTTAGAAGACAACTTGGGCTTAAATCTTGACCATGGTTTCCTAACATGGCACCAAAAGTACAAAAAACAAAAAAAGACTGAATATCATCAAAATTAAAAACTTTTGTGATGCAAAGGACACCATCAAGAAAGTGAAAAAGGGGGGCGCCTCGGTGGCTCAGTTGGTTAAGCAACTACCTTCGGCTCAGGTCATGATCCCAGGGTCCTGGGATCGAGCCCCGCACTGGGTTCCCTGCTTGGCAGGAAGCCTGCTTCTCCTTTTCCCACTCCCCCTGCTTATTTTCCCTCTCTCGCTGTCTCTCTTCTCTGTCAATTAAATAAATAAATACAATCTTTTAAAAAAAGTGAAAAAGACCACCCACAGAATGAGAAAATATTTGCAAGTCATTTATCCGATAAAGGGCCTGCACCTACAATATATAAACTCTCAAAATTCAATAATAAAGACATAATCCAATTTTAAAATGAGTAAAAGATCTGTATATTTCTACAAAGAAGATATAAAAATGACCAATAAGCACATGAGAAGATTTTCCATCATTAGTCATGAGGAAAATTCACATCAAAACCACAATGAGATAGCACTTCACATCCTCTAGGATGACTATGGTAAAAAAGATAATAACAAGTGTTGGAGAGCATACAGAGAAACTGGAACCTTCGTATACTGCTGGCAGAGCTGTTAAAAGGTGCAGCTGCTATGGAAAGTTTGGCAGCTATTATATGTGTGTATATATATATTTATCATTATTCTATTATACAAACATGTCATTTTCTCTGGCTGAATGAGAGTGTTTTCAGCTTCAAACGATTTCTGAGTGATTTAATAATGCTTTCATTTTGAGAATAAGGTACAGGCAAATCACATAAATTTAGTTGAAGGTAAATCATCTTAAGGGGCAATGTATGTCCTTCATGTGTTACTACAAAAGTTCATTGTCTATGGTCCCAGGTTTCAAATACTAAGTATTATTTGCTTATCTCCTACCTCATGCTAAAAATATACTGGGCTAACCTATATCTTAATCTCTGCATAGCTACTTTACATTTGTTTCAAATAAAGGCATTTATTAGATCTACACCTTGGATTATTTAACTCATGAAACCAATAAGCATTTACTAAATACACCACACAGACAACCACAGTCCATAGTCTATACCTTGCAGAGATGAGTAATTCAGTTGGAGAGCCATGTCATACCAGAACATACACATACAAGAGTTGCCATACAGCAATCAAATCACGACAACGCAAGTAAGTCTGAAAATTCAGGAGGGGAAGACTGTTACAGCCCTCAGAATTCTAGGGAAATTGACCTGAAGCCATTAAAAATGGATAGCAGGAAATGGCTAACACCTGCCAAGGAAGCATTTTAAACAAGAGATAAACACTGGTAAAAGCCAGAGCAATAGAAATCTAATCTGTATGTGACTAGGCTGATTCAGCTAGAATGAACTAAGTGTTTTTACTATGCACTTCTACTTCCATTAATTGACCCAGATCTACCCAGACATTAAGACAAACTATGGAATTTTTAATTGGATGTATTTAAAAACTGCAGAAACTTTTACATCTTTAGGACATATCAAATAATTCAGTTAAGTATAGATCCTAAATGCATCAGGCCCCATTACAGACCTACTGAACCCAAATTTGTGTTTTAACAAGATAAGCAGGTGATTCACTCATATTCTGAGTCTAAGCACTGTTATACTTCAGTTCCAATTCTAATACAAATTAGAATTATATGGGGAGTGCTATGGGTCGAATTGCCCCCACCAAATACATATGTTGAAGCCCTGACCCCCAGTTTAACAGGACTGAGATATGGGGCCTCTGTGAGGTAATTAGGTCATGAGGGTACAGCCCTCATGATGGTATTAGTGCCCTTATAAGAGACACCAGAGAGCATGTGTGTGTGTCTCCTCTCCCTCTCTCCCTGTCCCTATCCCTCCTCCCCAGCCTCTAGAACTGTGAGAAATTAATGTCTGTTATCTAAGACTCCCAGTCTATATTTTGTTATAGTAGCCAGAGCAGACTAACACAGGGTTTTTTTTTTCATTATTTTTTAAAGATTTTATTTATTCACTTGAGACACAGAGATATATATAGAGAGAGCATGAGCAGGGAGAGAGGCTGAGGGAGAGGGAGAAGCAGGCCCCCCACCGAGCCAGGAGCCCGAAGTGGGGCTCAATCCCAGGACCCTGTGGGACCATGACCCGAGCCGAAGGCAGACGCTCAACCATCTGAGCCACTCAGGCACCCCCCTTTTTTCATTTTAATCCAAGTGTCCAGGCACCATCCTTAAGAAGTGTGAATCATTAGGTCTGGGATGGAGCCAAAACATCAAAAAAAATTTTTTTTTTTTTTTGAGAGCGAGAGAGCAAGTGCAAACTGAGGGACAGAGGCAGAGGGAGAGAGAATTTTAATCAGGCTCCATGCTCAGTGCAGGGCCCAACATGGGGCTCGACCTCATGACCCTGAAATCATGACCTGAGCCAAAATCAAGAGTTGAACACTTAATTGACTGAGCCACCCAGGTGCCCCCAAAACATTTATTTTTAAAAGCTTCCCAGGGTGGGTCTAATGCACAAAGTTGATCACTGGCCTAGAGGATGAGGTTGAAAGGCATGACTGGATTAAACTCAAACATTAGACTGTTTTACTTTTAAAAGGTAAGTATCTTCTAAAATGAGTCACCACCATAGGTTTATAAACTGTCCCTGGAAAAAGAACAAAAAAAAAATCTGTTACTCAGAATTCAGCACATGGACAGAAATCTGATTTGAAAAAGCAAGTCAGCAACGGTAGCTCAAATCACCCAACAGAAGTCAAGCCATGGGGTAAAACAGAAAATACTTCATCCCTACAAAGTTCAGGAGTACTAAACAAGGGCTATTAAAAGTTTTCAGGTCAATTCTTGACAATAAGTTTTCTAAGTTTCACTTACAAGTAAACAGAAAGACACCTCTAACACTCAAGAAAATTAAGTGTACTCAGTATTAAACTTTAAAGTACCAGGCACCTCTCCACAGTTGTTTAACAGCTATAGCATAGGAAAGCAGTGTTATCTGGGAACTTTAAGGGTCAAACTATACAATGCCATTGTATAAATGTGAAGAAGGCATAACCAGGCTGAAGAAAACAACAGTGACACAGGAGTTCCAACAAGACAATACTAATGACAGCAGTTCCAATTCAAGAACGGTAGGTTCACAGTGATTTACAGAAATCAAGCAGACCTGCTCAATTTAAGAAGCAGTTCCTTGTTGATTAAAGCCAAAAGTAAACTGCACTAAATAATCCCACCTAGATGTGGTTGTAATTACTGACACAGAGAAGCTTACACACATAAAACACACTCCAGGTAAAAGGTAGAATTTGCACTTCTGGCATCTATCTGCAAACCATATTTGTAGAAATGACACTATCATTAGAAGAAGTACTGGATTTTCAAAAGGTGACCAAATGACTCCAAGTTTCTTTAATTGATCCGCTGGTTGAGAACAAGGCAGCAAGTATTTTTCTGGAACACT